AGCACTTCTGGTCTTATGAAGAAGTAAAAAATTGAATCGATTCATGGATAGCCTCAAAAGATGACCAGTTTTTTCGTACGCTACCCGAAAGATGGGATAAAGCAGCGATGAACAATACTTTGAATCATAAATGTCTAACCAGTTTTTTACAATAAAGCCTCGAATTTCGGAAAAAAACGGCGGAAGCAAAGTTGTACACCTAATATAAACAGAAACATAAAAGCAGAAATATCGCGTACAAGCACAGATATGCGGAGAGAAAGAACACAAGACGCGAAAACGGAGAAGCAAGCTTACATGTATAATGCAGGGTACAACACAAGGCAAACTAACAAAATAATGTGCCGACTATCGCAATACGAAACAATTCTATTCGATGCACAGAAATTAAAAGCACAAAATAGACAACAAAATTATACTCGAGAGCAGAAAATCACAATTAGAAGCAGCTTATTATTACTAGAGCAGATTATCACAACACGGAAATCGCGATTAGCTAAAAGACGGGCGTAAACAGAACGATGCTATCGCGACGACAAACTCGACTCTCAATAGTAACATAGATTTAGAACAATCCTATTACAAACGGATAATATCCGGAATGACATACATAAAAAGACAAGATTTCAGTACAAATATGTAAAGTGACACAGATCGGTTTGTAGATATTTTTCTTCCTTGTTGTAAACAACGTTTCCTCCTCCCATTGAAAAAATTAATTTCTCTTTCTCCAGTGATTTCCCTTTCCTTCTTATTAAGGTGTACAAAGAACGTTACTTCAAGAAATATTGTACTGTCGAGATATCAAATTGTTCTTAGAGAAGGTTATTCTTACCATCCTTTAATAATTAATTTGTAAGACTTCGGACAATTATTGTGTGATCTTTGATGATCGCTATTTCTAGTACAAGTACGTTTCAATTTAACATAAATATGTACCAAAAAAATGTTCTCGCGATTAATATTTTAAAAATAGTATTTAGAAGTCTTGCGTTCACACACAGCATTCAAAGAAGAGAAATCTGTAACATTAGGATATTTAAATGGAGTTTCGAAAGAGTAAACCCTTCGATTTTATTGTCGATTAATATACTACTGTATTTTGATTACGAGTATGATAATGAAAATTACTGAGGTCATTTTGACGGTCATTTGCTGCGCAATTTGCGTCACTACTCAGCATATTTGTCAGTACATGTTGTGCTGAAAGATGGATGTACAATTTCTTTACAATTTTTCACACACGAAGTGACTCCCTTCCCCTCAGATTAAGGGCACACGACTTCCACGTGAAACTACTCGCCAATTCCCCCTTGCTTAGGAATGCATGACTTCCACGCGAAATGACTTCCACCCTTCCTTAGAGGCGCACGTGAAACGCTCGAAAAATGTAGAAAAAAATCGGTTTTTAAATATTTGACCTTGAAAATGACATTGTCGACAATTTTCATTATCATATGTGTAATCAGGGCATCAAAATATAGTAGTATGTCAAGCGACAAGAAAATCGAGATGTTCACTTTTTCGGAGCATTATCCGTATTATTAAGTATAAAATCCGTTATTAAGTATAAAAAAGAGGAAAGATAATATTAATTACAAATTTAGGAGCGCAAAAAAACACATTGTGAGATGCACAAATTCTTCATTCAAAGCTTTAATTCATTAGTCACATATTCAATATTAAATACGTTTCAGTTCAGATTTAAGTCATCAACATCATATTATTAAAGGTTGTAATCATGTTCATGAACGACGACACTTCGTCGCGTGCTCTTAGCTCTTCTCTTACGTAAAAGTATCTTTCCACTCCACAACGTATATCTCGATAGCGTAATATCTCGACGACTACGCGAATTTTTGGCAAATCTCTTAGGTTTTCACTAAGTTGGGCGCCAAGAACGAGAGAGTGTGTTACTCTTTCGATAATCTTCTCAACTTTCATACTAAATTCTTCTCATACTTCTTATACTTCTACAAATTCGCGACGGCAGGGATGGGTCATCAAAGATGGAAAAATTGTCGGAGGACGAGAGAGATAGACTATAAGAATCACACCTGAGATAATAAAGAAATAAAGAACAGTTATATTTAACGAAATCGGTTACATGCAATCTCCGTAGCCTCGCTCGCTTCGCTGGACTCGATATAATCAATTTTCACGAAAGACAACGACGATTTACTAATCGGAAGAACCTGTGATCCATCTGAAATTATGAAAATCCGGATCGGCAGCTTTATAGTAGCAATGGCGATGTCGTCTTACTCTCGTGGTCCTGATTCTTCCGCTCTTCTCCTCGGCAATCTCGCTCGCAGTAGCAATTTTCGAAAATTCTTTATCCAGCGACACGTTCTTTATAAATCGTTAGCTCAGCCACAGCACGAGTGAAGCCTGGGAGCTCGTCGCGGACTCATGCAGATTCGGCTCCTGTTTATCTCGCTGTCCGCGCGTGCCGCAAATGCTTGTTCTTAAAAGCGCGTAATATAATTTCCTTTCAAGGGCTGCTTTTCTGCCTAAGACCCCGGAATTTCCCGGGAGATGTCCTGGCAGCTCCTTTTCCAGCTTCACGTTGGGGATATATACCCCTGACATCCATACGATGTCCGGGAATTCTCGCCTCCGGTCGTATTCTGCAAGGGGTACGCAACGTAAGAAGATTTTAGGGCGGCAGCAGATTATGAAATTCAAAAACGATACGGCCTGCATGTCCGGACTCCAGTGTGGGCGGTTTTCCAATGTAGTGTCGCCTCTTCTTTCCCCTGCTGGCGAGTGAGACGGCATAATTACAGAATAATATAATAGCTGCCGATCCGTGGCGATCCGAACTTTAATTGTGAGACTAATCACTAAAAAAAAAAAAAATCTTACAGAAAGAGAAGAAATATTAAAAAACCGACAATTACAGGGTTAATGCACGTTCGCAGATGCGTTCGCACGCGCGCTCGCCCTCCGAGTCAAGAGAATGCGCGATACTGCTGACGCTTCTCGTCAGTAACGGACAAAAATTGTCACGTCACAAGATATAATCAATTATACTTCCAATAATATCCGTAAACACGCATTATCTCTGCAAATGTTTTTTATAACTAAAGGATAAAGATATTTAGAAATCCTTGGAATTCTCAAATCAGTTTCATAGCCAGATGGAAAGGATTGTGTATATCTTAGACTCCAATAATATACTAAATTTCGACAGTTGTAAATCCGGCAATCATTAATATTAGAGAATTGGATAAAAGTATCTATTAGAAGACCAAGCTCCATTAATCTTGATATATGTTGTCAAGGTTATGACCCTGAATAATCTCCAACAGATTTTAATTGACGTTCATTATTCGTAAAAAAATTATTAACAAAATAAGTTTAAGAAATAACGTCACATTTCTGCTATACACATTAAGTAATAATAAGTATCTTATACTTCCCCTGCTTAAAAACATTCAACTTTTCACATGAAAAGAAGTCCTCACTTCCCTTGCCTAGGAGCGTACTTTCCACGTGAATCAAGGTCTACATATATCCTCCCTGCCTCGCCGAAGTCATAAATATACCTTCCTGTTTAAAGGCGCCGAGGTCGTGCGAGGAGGAGAGGTGAAGTAGATTCTGCATGGAAAGTCGTACTCTTCTCGGTTCACTTTATACCTCCTTTCTGTCAAGATTCGACTTTTCACATAAAGTAGTGAAATATTCACTAACTTTGATTGTTAATAACTTTTTATGAACGATAAGTGACGACTGAAGCCTGTTGAAGATCACTTAGGATCATGACCTTGACAACATATGTCATTGGACATTCATCCTAATATCAAAAATTGAAATATAATAAAATAATTCAATGCATTCGTGAAAATTGCTTCACTGTCAATGATAAAATAACTTATTTGTAATTAATATTGTTATGAATTTCGAGGAGTTCCTAATTGGCTTATTTTTCAATTTTTTGTTCATGAATAAATGAAGAAAGATTACCTACAATAAAAAATCACATAAATTTTTCTCATGTATTGACGGCACTAATGAAAAAAATAAAAAGATACATCAGAATTGTATATTTATCAATGGCGGATTTATGTATCAGTTTTTTTATGTTTCAGTTTTCTTGGGTATGTGAAATATGTAATTTGATTGTGTGTTTTTTGTAGAAAAGGTATACATAAAAATATTTCATATATGTTCTATTTGAGATTAGTTAACACTAATATAGTGAGAATTATATGTATATAGATGTCGCATGTTGATATTAAATCTACATTGATATCTTTTGAATATATAAATACAATATGTGGAATAAAAGTGTCTTTTTATGCCATCATGGCAAATATCATCATTGTTATACAGGCAACAGAAAAATGTCAGAAGAACAGTCTTGTTCGTGCATAATTATAGTTAAATTTGTAAATAGATTTATTAGTCGATTCTTATCTTGTTATCAAAGTAGTAATGATTTCGCTATAATAATAAAATTTACTGAAAGTAATATAAATATTTAATACATTCTTTTAAATTGAACGCAAGCGTAGCATGATAGACAGCATACTGGTTTGTCGTGCCAGAGATTCGATCCCTGATAGTAACCAAAATATTTACGCTCGTGTCTTCTCTTGGAAAAGGTCAGCAAACTCCCGAGAGTATTTTTACCCATAGAAATACTTTTCAAAATATCCGCGGTTTGGAACCGACTTTAAAACTGTAGACAGCCCATATATTTGTGGCAATTGAATAATCAACGTGCTCACTACAAGCATGTGCGATAGATAAAAGATAGGCACCTAACATAAGAAGAAGAAGAAGAGAATTAGATTATTTTTAAAATGAATTTATTCAATAACATTTTTTTATATTTTGTCAAAAGAAGTTTTAAATTTTGTTGCAAAATTTGAATAATTGAGATTATGATAATATACCAAATACAGACCATTTTCTCTTTGTGCTATCCAATATCTTGCAATTCCGTTGTAATTAATAAATTATATATAATTAATAAATGTATTAATTCGTAGATATTATGGACTGCACTTTCGGTAATTTTGGGTGCTGAATTGAGAGGGGACTTGATACGGGGCGCACCATGTATTAAGAGATATCATCAATTGTTTTGTCCGACCGCTGGCAACACATATCCAATGTGCGTATGAATAATTCTATTTGTTAATATTCTTAAGCTTCCATGGATTCTTTTTATATAAAGATTATGCGAGTTTTCTCCGTAACCAGATTCATTCTTGGAATGCCCAAAACATTCCAAGAATGGATCTGGACACGGAGAAAACCGTGAAACGTATAAGCTTTATAATTCTATTTGTTACTTTTTAATATGCTTCTAGAGATAATGTTACATCTAACCACAGTTAAACAAAACTTATTAGAGAAAGTAAGAAAACTTAAGGGCAATGTGTAATTAACTAACATGAATTGTAATTTAATTAAATCGATTTTTGCAGAGACCGCATAGAACGTTTTATTGACGAAAATAAAGCGTTAATTAAAAGAATGTATGGTGATTTTGAGATGAATCCAGAATACAAATCAAATGAACACGGGCATCATATTAAAATGCGAAGAAAAAGTAGAGAAGTGCGAAAGCACGATATCCCGGACGGCGGATCCAGAGATGACTCACATATAGAAAGTGAAATTGACGAAGAGTATTTTAGTAAGAATAGAAATGCCAGACAATCTTTTGGAAAAAATCGCAGTACAAAGGATGGCAGGTGACAACCAAATAAATGTTTTACTATTAACAATTTATATTTAAAATTAAAATTACAAAATTTTAGAGGCTCAGCGAACTAATAATTCAATTAAAAATTCATATAAGGGTTAAATAAATCAATGCATTGATGAGTTTTTTATGTTAACGACAAGGAACAAACATAAGATGATAACAATATATTAAGAGTAATAATTTTAAAGGATTTTTTAAATATAAAAATATGGCTTTATTGTAAAAAAATGATTACAAATTGATCATTCAAAATATTATCCGCATACTTTTTCCTTTTTCCTACTTTTTTTTTATTTATCTTTCTGGTAATAGGTGAATTCCACGTCGAAAGAACACATCTTTTGAGGTCCATCTCCACGAATTGACTTATTTTTTATCTCCATAAGAATGGAAGCACTTCTTAGATAAGCTCTGAGTTATTAATCGAAATACGTTGTAATCGGAAGGAGCAATATTTGGAGAATACGGCGAGTGTGATAGGATATCCCAGTTAAGTGTTTCTAACGTTTCCTTGACTGATTTCGCAACATGTGGTCGAGCGTTGCTAGAAAATTATTTTGTTGTGTCTTTTCGCGTAATCTGGTCGTTTTTGCTTCAATGCTCAACTCAATTGCATCAATTATAGTTGGTAGCGTTCCTCAGTGATGTTTCGTTGGGTTGCAGCAGCTCATAATACACTACATCCAGCTGATCCAATTAAATACAGAGCATGAGCTATGAATATTCGGCTTTGCCGTCGATGTTGAGGGTTCGCCTGTACCATGATTTTTTGCACTTCGGATTATCATAGCATATCCATTTTTCATCACTTGTCACGATACGATACAAAAAACTTTTTCTTCTGTATCTTTGAAGCAACAATTCACAGGTCATTTTGCGCCTTTCAATGTCCCTCGGTTTCAACTCGTACGGCACCCAATTTCCTTGCTTTTGAATCATTCCAATGGTCTTCAAACGTCTCGAAATCGTTGATCGATCGACATTTAATGATTCTGCAAATTTTTCTTGCGTTTGATTCGGATCTTGAGCAAGTAAAGCTCCTACTTCCTCATCTTCAAATTTTTTCGACTTGAATGTTTTTTGTCTTCCATGTCAAGATCACCTTTTTTTATAGCGTCGAAATCAGTATTCACATGTTGAAATCGATGGAATATAATCACCATAAACTTTCGACAGCATTCCTTGACTTTCAGCAGCATATTTCTTCACATGGAAGCAAAAGAGCAAAGCTTTCCGCAAATTGCGTTATGTTGGCACAAAATTTGACATATTCAATGCTCAAAAAAACAATGTTGTTTAACTTCGGCAAAATGACACATATTGAAAACTAAAGTCACATGATGGTACTTTGAAAGTTGCAACAATATGACCCGATGCGATAGTATTAGTTACACCATCTCTTGAAAATTCTTTAAAATTAATGCACACTTCCGATAATATAATTTATGTATCTACTGAAGATAGTTCCGTTGAAAACCGAACGTTTGGAAGACTTTTGTAAATTATAACAATATATTCTTTTGGCATCGACAACGTGCATTGGCTCATTTAATCCTTATATGAATTTATTATTTTATACATTATTTAACCCTTATATGAATTTATTATTTTATATATTAGTTTTACGAGGGGCATTTTAAAAGTAAGAGTTCCAATCATAGAGTATTAAAATGAAAGATAGGACAATTACGAACTACCTTATTTTATTAACTTAACCCTTATATGAATTTATTATTTTATATATTAGTTTTATGAGGGGCATTTTAAAAGTAAGAGTCCCAATTATAGAGAATTAAAGTGAAAGGTGGGACAATTATGAAACTACCTTATTTTATTAACTTAAATCTTTAAGTTTCTTCAATATATAATCATAAGTTTTTTCAATATAATCATCATTAATTTTTAAGCATTTGCTACAATATGACATTAGTTTTTGATACCTTCAGAAATATAAAAGACGTGTCTTTTTGGAGCGGAGCTATAATTCAGCCTTGATTTCATTGCCACTCAAACATTTTTTAAAGCCAGGAAAAAAGTGAAAATCTCTCGGCAAGATTTAGAGAATAAGATGAATGAGTATATATAGGATGTTCATAAAAAACCATTCAGCATTTATATGATGGATGATACACACCATATTGAGTAAAAAAATTTTAGTGAACATAGGTCGAAAACTCAACCGAGATATAAACATTTTTATATGTTAGCCATTATGAATAACTTACTTGCTATATTTAAATATGATTATCTATATCGGGGATAGATACAGATCTAGGACTACCAGAGCCTCGATGGTTAATTCTAAATGAGCCTGATTCACAAATCATGATGAATCACATGATGAAGATTTTAAAACAGTGTGAGAGGGAACTCTTCGATTAGGAAATTTTTCGACGTAAAGATGTCGTGCAACAGAAGCATTTTCATTAACTGGATTGGTAAATATCCTGTTTAGGGAAGTCCTTTCCAAATGACCTTATATATTGTCAAAGTCATAATCCTGAATGACCTCCAACAAGTTTTAATCGTCGCTCATTATTATAAAAAATTATTAAAAAATTACAAAAGAAGTTTGAAAAATAACGTCTTATTTCTGCTATGTACAGGGTGTCTGGAATTTAAATATCAAAAATTCTGAAGTATGTAGAAAATAAACTAAGAAAAATGTTCTAGCGACATATATGCTCGTTTTTGCTTCGTTTTAGAGAAAATCATAAAAAAGACAAAACGTTGCTTCGTGCATTGCCCTTAAAGTATTATCGTCACTAAAATCGTACAGGAAGATAATAACAATTCCGTTTTCAGGTGAAAAGTTTTTTGTTTTTGTCTAGAGATTATTTTTTTTTATTCGCTAAATTAGATGCAGCCAGATTATTTGGAGATTGATTTCTTTAATTATTTAGAAGACATCCACTTGCAACGGATTGAAATGTGATTTCAACTTGAATGATCCAGCTCATTATGGCAGATCTACTCGAGCTTAGCTAGAGAGACATTTTCCACAACGGTAGATTAAATATGGAGGAATAGTACTTTGGTCATCCCGATCGTCTGATTTGACACTGGACTTCTTTGTATGGGGGAGTCGTGAAGCAGAAAGTTTATTCGTCGTCAATCAACTCAAGAGAACAATTAAGAAATCAAATCGAAGCTGCAGTGCACCAAATATCGCCAGATTAGTGTTTAGTTGCAACACGAACTGTTCGTACTGGATGCAATGCTTGCATTGTTGCAAGAGGCCAACATTTTGAATAATACCTACATTCAACAAGTGACTAAATACAACGTGAATAAGTAATGAGAAAGTACAAAAATGAAAACTACATTTTGCCTTTTTTATAATTTTTTTTAAAATGAATAAAAAATGAGCATATCTCTACAAGCTTTTTTTCCTTATAGTTTATCGATTCCCTATACCGATCGATTTCCCGAAATTTTGATATTTAAATTCCAAATATCTTGTATATTAAAAACAATTCTATATTCCTTCCTTGCTTACGTAATAATTTTTCACGCGAAGCGACGTTCACTCTTCCTACTTAGAAACGCACAACTTCCATGCAAAGAGATTCCTACCTTACTCTCCCCCCCCCCCTGTTTCAAGGGCACACAACTTCCACGAGAAGCGACTCCCATCTCACCTCCCCTCCTATTTCAAGGACACACAACTTCTATGCAAAGTGACATCCACTCCATTATTCCCCCTGTTTAGGAACACAGAACTTTCTATACGAAGCGAGTTTCACCCCATCTTTCTAAATTGTTTCGCGTGGAAAATCGTGCACTCTTCAACATGGAGGAGATGAGGTGAGAATCGCTTCGCATAGATAGTAAAATATATTTTAAAACAAGAAAGTTTTGTTTAAAAATAGTGAAGAAAACATCATTTTTCACATAACTTTCTTTTTTAATAACTTTTGAACGAGTAACGAGCAACGGCTAAAATCTATTGGAGGTCTGTTGGAGGACAACATGTCAAGATCAAGGTCAATGGAGGATATCTCTAAACAGGATATTTACCGCAGGGCTATACAAAAAATATATATTATATTTGCCATGTCTTGATTAGAATAATACGTTGACATTTTTAACTACGATAATATATAAATGTGTAATCATCAAATATATATCGATCTTCAATCATCCGTTGATAACAATTGACTGATTATCGATGAAATTTTCTGTTATAAAGTATGTATCCAATGAAGCAAAATGCAATTAATAAATATTGAAGTAAACATCGCATGAAGAAGTCAGTCATTTATGATATTAACCTTCAGTATCCACACTTGAAAAAAGTCTCACATCTGATATTTGTAATCCAGCATTTTCTTTTGCTTTTATTTCAGAGTAGTTCATTGATTTCAACTAAATTATTTTTTAATCTATTATTTGAAGACTAAAAAAAAGAATTTTTGAGTTAGAAAGTCTAAAATGTCATAGCAAAAGATATTGCAATAAGTGAAGAAGGATCGGAAAAAATATCTGAACTGGGAATCGGAACGGATTATGCTAACGAGTACGCTTGTGTTACCAAGAGTTAATAATATAGCCATGGCAGTGTCGCTGCGCATAGTTTAACGCTGAGATACTACCAGTGTCCAGATACAAAAATGTTTATATCTCAGAAACGATTGAGCTCTCGATCTACAGTCACTAAGATTTTTTTATTCAGTATGATATGTATATACCATCGACCATATAAATACTGAATGATTTTTTCTTAATACTTTGCATATATGACGTTGATATATACCATTTCGAGACTTATCATCATACTGCCGAGAGAAAAAAATAGTTGTAGCAATCATTTTTTGGCAATATGGTATTATAATTATTTTTAGAGAATATTACAGCTGTCAATCTCTAGTACTCAACACAGTAAAAATATAATTGCGACAATAGTATTTGTACACTATTATTGGCAATTAAATAGTACACCTACATTAATACAATAGTTACATCTTACAGAAAATAAAAATTATA